ACTGAGATACTTACCCGTAACCCAGGACATTTTTCCATTCCAAACTAGTGTAACCACATATCTTCACAAATCTTGGCAATCTCTTCACAAAAAGCAAATTGCTTTTATATCAACTCATCATAGTTAGTTCAATAGACTATTTGGATGTGGTACATTAACCCCTCATTCAAAAGATTATTGATCAGGACAACCTTGCGATGGTGGTAGAACTTAGCGAATAGACGTGGTTGGGATGTTTCCCCCGCTGTCGAAGAGTCGAAAAGTCTCTCCATAGTTTCTTCGGTATCGTAAAAGTTTCGGACGAACCCTGAAGGTTTGCTCTTTTTTGTCTCATCTCGTCGCCCAAACAACATGCTTTTCCAAGAAGTCATTATCGCGATCATGTTTTTCCGTTGGCACAGATTCTTCTGCTCGTCTTCGTTGGCAGCATAAATTCAATATTGTTTGCATAATCTAATTAATATCCAAAGGATACACCGCTCAAAAAATTAACAATTTTCACCATACCTTTTGTCCCGAGGTTAATTCGTCTCCAATGATTGAGATGTTTGGGAGGCAAATAAGGTCATCGTCGTTGCAATGATAAACACAATGGATGGACAACTAAGGTAGATATCGACAAAGTGGGCGACGCCAACCATCATATGGAAGCTGAAGAACCCTTTTCGATTGAAACGTTGCTCCTCGGTAGCAGCTCACTGCAGATTGAAGTTACATTAATAAATCTCAATTGCGTAGAACCGTTGGTTATAATTATTTCTTGATCAACCACACCCACATCGACGGATATTTCTGCACTGTGTCTGTACTGAAATCTGCATTGACTATCGCTTCCAAAATGTCAAGCGTCACTGTGACGACAGAAGGAGCGCGATTGGCTACAGTACGAAAATCTACAACTAGCGGTGGAGAGATTACCAATGACGGTGATGACCGAGAGCATGCGCAATGATCAATTGGTCAATTACTCAGCCCTATAGCAGAGATGCCTTTTCCAGGGCTACAAGTTCAAAGCTAGGCATTGTGAATTATGGCTAGCTACAATGCACCAGGCTGTGAGGCTGTGCAACACAACTGCGATGTGTACTGGAAACATCTGACAACAAATTTGTATGGGTCTAATGTACTCGAATGTTTCTTCGTGCTGACTAGATAATGAAGTGGATTCTTTGCACCACCTCCCTTACGTCTGAGTAATGGAGGCATTAGAAAAATGCCACAATAAAACTCCTTTGTTCTCAAATGGCGGAGGAACACCATGGAGCCGGTAGGTAATATTGACTTCTTCGTCTCTGTGAGTGCATTGCCTTGGTACAAGAACATATCTATTAAATAAGCCATAGCACACCTTCACGATGTGCTATAAAAATTAGACGCTCTCATTGTATCAAGGGGTACCACATGGAGAAGATTCGCAAGATGTTCTGATAATAGCAACTTTAACGGGTCTGCGTTTGAGAATTAAATTTACCAGCCAATTCCATCGTTAGGACCCGACTATAATTTTGAGAACTCGGTGCCAAGACGGCGAGGATTACTATTGCCAGGATTTTTAGCCAATCACTGATGATCGAACTCGAAGAAAAGGGGTTCATAGGGCTGAATTCCGAAGAGTTGCAGAAGAACGTGAAACCAAAGGGTTATGCTTTGTTTGAGGGAACGAAGCTTCTGGGGGTAAGATGAACTATGTGTGTAGAAGAGGTATTCTGGGTGACTTGAAGGGCTTCCAGAAGGATTTGATCCTTCGATAACGACGACGACGATGCTTTCACAAAACCCAGGATACACATATACACAAAACAGGACATTATATCAAGACCAGGTCGATCAATATAATATCCACACATTTGGTCAGATGGTTCAATCCTTCTGTGACACGACCCAAAGAAAGGTGTTGTGGAGATCCCATGCATGATTTGAAATCAGGGGCGGACGTTGTGTGTTGTATAGAGAGCAATGATTCATCTTGAGAGAGGAGATGAACGGACAGGAAAGATAACTATGATGGAAATCTGCCTCGTGAAATGGGTCCTGCCGTGCCGTCCGTTTCCGTAGTGTATAGAGTCCGGACGAACTTTTGGTCTGTTTACAACTGTTGGACAGGGGCATGTGGCTCGTGCATATCTACAATGGCCTGGTACGTGATAGAATGTGATGCCATCAAGGCTATCTATCATCGACGAAACGATCAGTTTACGAGAGGCCCGATAGTGACTAATAGTATCCGTCATAATGCAGAGGAATTTCATATGCGTTTCAAGGCTTCTACTTAGGTTCGTTACCATATCGAGCAATTATGACGATGTGAAGAAGTGAGAGAGATGGCTGTGCTCTCGAGGCTGTGCAACATGTAGAAGAAAGGGAAACACTCGTGGTTATTTCGGTGGGGAATTCGGGGCACATGAGACGAGAATATGTGAATATGTGTGGCCGAGTAGACTGTAGAGAATGCAGTAGCCACTCCTGGGCGTGCGTTTTCGTTAATCCTTCGTACTCGGGCCAATCATTTGCTGTGGATCCCTGACTAACCTAGCCACAGACCATTTTACTCATCAAGAGAGCTCGGGGTGACCAAAGTTCTCTATTTCCTTTTTGTCATTGGGTTTGATCGACACAGTGGTAATGCGATGCTAGTTCGAATACATCTACAGATCCGCGTTTTTTGTATTCGGGTGGTGTCGGCGGTTGCGAGAGGTTTAGATTAGTACATGTCTAGGTGGATTTCAATGATTAGTCCAAAAGATTGATCCTATAACCCCTCAATCCTGACCAAGGCGCTTTTATGGAATTATTGTCACCATCATATTCAACCGGTAAAAGTCCAGATCTATTCCTGTCACCATGTGTTCATTCAATTTCAATCGATCAATCAATCGATCAGTCTCGGTACTATTGCATCCAGGCAACAACAAAATGTACCTTTCGTCGATCATCCGAGGGGTGCATGGTTAAATAAATTAAAAGCATATATGTACAGATAGATATTGAGTTTATTGTTTCGTCGAATGGAACGATGTAACTCAAGATTTCGACTCCTTCGCCAAAATGAAATGTCCTAAAGACGAAAAATGTCTCTTTTGAGAAGTGTGCCAGGGAGTCTGCCAATGAATGAAGATCTAGCCGTCGATTCACAAGCATTGCACCCCACTCAACTCGCCTTATTTGTCTGAGAGTAGCGAAATCAAGCGAATGAGACAGGGTTCATTTAACTTTAATGGGATTTCCCCACCCGGATTGGGAGGAGACTGGGAAAGAAAGGAAGATCTACATGAGAGGGGGAGAGGAGGTTTTCATTCGTCGCACATCACTTGATATGTTGAACTTGAATTGAGGAGTCGACGAGGGTGAGCGAATATCATCTTGTTGCGATCTATACACTATTCGCTCGCAAGAATCTCCCCTTTCCATGCTTTTATCCATGGACTCTTGACATCGTGATATCGAATCTTTAGAAAAAGTTGATTGTGCTTGTAGGGAATACAACTCTGTACTTGGTTGTACGGTACATATCTACACATCCCATATCGTAAATCCTCAAATGTTCCCCTGCTCCTAGTAGATTTGTGATGGTAATCAATCTTTAAAGTCTCGGGAACAACCAGCGACAGGGGGCCATGATTCTTAGCACGTTCGTCTAGGGATTTCCGGTACTCATGATCTGGTTGGCTTATTCTACGATATCTCATCTCTCACTTCTGGCCTAAGCATCTTTCGTAATCTTACCCCAAACTACAATTAAACTTTTGTCCTTGTATATCAGGTGAGTGGATATGTGTGTGTGTGTTCCAAACTGGTTTGGCAAATAGATAATGAAAGTGGAGTGAGTCTTGAGTCTTGACCGACTAGACGGAGATGGCGATGGTGGGACGGAGATTCCAGGCGGCCACTAATAATGCACGCAGCGCCAGTGCTGCAAGTTACCCCCATCCCTTGTAAGGTTATTGAGATTCTGTGTGCGAGGTAGGTGCAAGGTTGTAAGATGGGTATGCCCAGCCAAGTGGAAAGTCCGCCATACATTTGCCAGATGCATTCGGGTAAGGCTGTGTATGATTGATCCAAGGTGCCTGCTGTGTTGTGTATGGAATAATGGCGTATGAAGTGAATTTTGTGGATTCATGTGCATTGCTTGGTTTTGATGCACTAATCATTATGCATACACTGCGGCGAGGTAAGGTAAAGTTGTAAGGTTATAAGGTCGGTGGAGGAGCGACCAGACCGAGGCCACGGAAAAAAGAAGCCACAATGTGCTGTGCTGTGCTGTTTGAATACTACTTCTGTGAAGAGGAATCGGAGCCTAGGTAAATTGTGGACATAGTTATTGGATCAGATCGTAAGAATATATTTTTATTCAACGACCGTTCTGTCAATCTGTCACTCTAGATGAGGTCTGTGATGACTTTCGTCTAAAGAAACATTTTAGTCAATTAGTCAATTAGTGACTGTTAGTCTAATCTGCTTACTATAGTACTATCTACCGGGAACTAATCTCAACAGACGTAGTACTATCCTATCTACGGGAATTTCCAGCGGTTTTTTCTTCTTAATTTTGGATCTAGACTGGACTCGTACCTTACTAGTGGTGTCTATCGTACGTATTGTATCAACCTTACCAATTAGATACGTCTAGATGTGTATATGTGTGTGTGTGTGTGAAAAGTAAACATTTTTTTGACTAGATAATCAATAAAGTAAAGATACCTTCTATAGGGTCTTTTGGGGGTATTGAAGTCAAATCGCAACTTATCAAGGGTTGATTGACAGTAATAGGTCAGGGCAAACAAGAAAAAAAAAAAAAAGAAACATTTCGTTCCAAAGTAACAGAATCCCTGAAAATGATTTGCTCAAAATGCCCATGTCCCAAGCTCAAGGTTCGACTTCAACCCCATGTCTTCTTTATCCATGTTCCCATGTCCGGGCTTAGCATCTTGCATTTTTCTGGGTCGACTATTTTGAAGCCTTCTTATCCATTCCCGTCCAGAACTACTCCATACCTGGTAATTTTTTATCTTTTGATCTCACTAGACAGTCCCATTACATCTCCATACCACCAATATTACAATATAATATTAATCCTCAAGATGCCCCAACTTTCTAGAAAAGGAACATGTTCATGCTCATCCTTCATCATACACATCTACACTCTCCACCCCATATCTACTCCATATCATACCACTAGGATTCAAGAACACCTAGACAGGCCTTACCAAACTACTACAAACATTGATACATGTCCCGCTCTCCCGCTTGGCAATAAACACATCAACCTTGAAAGGCTTCGATCATCCTCCCCGAACTAATGTATCATACCTAATCTTACACCTTCTACCTAAACTAAACCCTACATTACTATTTTGTCTCTCGTCAACCACATTCTCGGTCATCATACCTTTTATATATATATATATATGTTCTCCGCGCCTCGCCCTCTTCTTACGTCGGCTTCGTTCATCGGCTTCCTGTCTCAGATCACATCTCCAATCTTCAAATACTACCTTGATTCAACTATTCCCAAGTATCTACATCAACTTGCACAACGACATCCTCACAAAGTATTCATACATTGCAACCCTCTTGGATATATAGCACACTTTCTTATACTGGAACTGCAAAGGAACCAAAGGTATTTCGCATACAGCCTTGGGTAGATGGTCCGTGAAGCAGTTTACTGATCGGTATATCTAGTCGGCGATAAGTGTGGCTATCATCCCAATCCAAAATAGCCAGCCATCACCGTCTTCGAAACAAACTCTCACAACACAACATGGTCTCGGTATCTGATCATTCATTCCATATGCTATCGCGACACATGGGAAATCAAAACGAAAACGACTTTCCACTTTTCCCCGAAGCAAATATGTATTCTCCTCAATATCCATACAACAGCATGCCAAACTTTCAGATCGAACACGACGCTGCGTATGCATACTCGAGAACACAAGATATCTACCCTACCAGCACCGGATTCGATTCCACAACTATGTATAGTGAAGGTCCCCAACATTTTGTTGAGTCACCAGAACTTAGAGGAGCTGCGCCATCAAATTACTCCGCAGCCAGTGGACCTTCGGTGACATCCTCGACCATCGGCTCTCCCAATTCAAACCACGGCCACATGGTTTCAGTATCTGAGTGGGGCTCTGGACTTGGTATCAACCCAACTATCGTGAATTACGATAACTTTGGTCAAGGAACCGACTACAACTTCTCTGCAGGTATGGAAGACTTTACTGTAGATTTCAATTCGGCCAAACCAGGCTTTGTTGGTGAGTGTGAAAATATCTCTAGATCTACACCTCGTCAGAACCGTTCCATTTCTTCTTCATCCTCTTCTATTCATGATTTTCATACTCCAATGGATTCTTCGCGATCAATTGCTTCACCAATCACACCCGTCAGTGCGTTTCGAAAAGAATTTAGAGAAGAATGTTTGAAATCTCCTCATGTTTCTGTACTTTCAATTTCTCCTGTATCTGGTCGACCAATTTCAAGCTTTAAGTCTCCAACTAGCGCCGGTCGTAGTAACGAGATAAGGTTATCTCCCGTTACTACTTCAATAGCGCAAGCATTCACTTCGGAACCGACAACATCATATTCTTCATTTCAACAATCTCCTTTCTTTTCTCAGTCCAGTGGCAATTTTGTTGCTCCACTTCAATCTTCTTGTGTGTTTTCTCTCTGTCAATTCCCTCACTGGCTTCATACATTTTTATTCGCCAAGAAAACTCAAAAAGGATTACATTCTAACATAAATTTCTAGACCCATCCATTTTACATGCTCCTTTTTCCGCTACTCGCCCAACATCAGCTGTCGGACAATCCGAATTGTCTCCTTACCAAGCACCAATGTATCACACATCTCCATCTCCATCTCAACACTCCTCAAGAAGTCCTGGACCTGCCAAGGTCGACAGCGCAAGCCCTTACTTGGGCTCTCAATATTATCCATATCCTGCACCAATGATCAGACGGCCATCTTTGACCATTTCTCACCAATCTTATGGTTCCCAAGATGGTAACTTCAGTGGTGAAGAATCAAAAGAAAAGGGCCGCTGCACCTGGCCAGAATGTGGAAAGATCTTCAAAGATCTTAAAGCTCACATGTTGACCCATCAAAATGAGCGCCCGGAAAAATGCCCCATACAGACATGTGACTACCACGTCAAGGGCTTCGCTCGAAAATACGACAAAAACCGCCACACCTTGACTCATTACAAAGGGACAATGGTATGCGGTTTCTGCCCAGGTTCCGGATCTGCGGCAGAAAAATCCTTCAACCGTGCTGATGTCTTCAAGAGACATCTCACTTCAGTACATGCCGTAGAACAAACCCCACCAAATAGCCGTAAGAAGACTTCCGCAAGCATCAACAGTGGAAAGAAGCTCTCGGGATATGCACCAGATGCTACTGGAAAGTGCTCTACCTGTTCGGCTACTTTCAGCAATGCTCAAGACTTCTATGAGCATCTCGATGACTGTGTTCTCCGCATTGTTCAACAAGAGGAACCTTCCGAGGCAATCAACGCTCGTCGCCTTGCAGAGGTTGAACAAGATCACGATGTCCATGAAACTCTCCGCAACAACGCCCTTCCAGTCACTACCAACGTTTACTCAACAGCCGAAGAAGATGATGATGAGGAAGTTGACGATGAAAACGACGACGACTACTCCATCCGTGTCCGTACATCCCGCAAAGGCCGTCAAAACCGCAACCCAGTCAACGGCGTCCAAAAGTCCAGAGGCATGACTCACTCCAAAGGTGGCGTCACTCTAAATACCAAAGGACGTAAGAAGCGCAAGGACTATCCTTCATCATGGGGATGCCCTACATCTCAAATGAAGATGAAGAAGCGTGTTCTCACTGTCTTTGATGGACCTCGCCGTCTCTGGAAGGACGATATGATGCTCGATACCGATTACGAGGTACGCATCAAGCTCGGTGATGAAAAAGCTTACGTTACCGATCTCGATGTGCAAACTATGAGAAGAGCGGAGGCCTTCCACAATGCTACGGAAGAGGAAAAGGGACCTTGGATCGCAGATGATCTGACGGGAATGGATTTGGAGAGGTTGATGGAGGTTAAGAGAGAGAATTAATTCCTCTTCTTACTTTACTTTTCCACACTCCACTTTTGTTTATGAGGTTATGAGATGGACATTTTTTTATGATTTGCTCAAATGATTTGGGGCATTTTGCATATGTTTTATATCGGCGCTTTGGATACCATTTACATATATCTAAGGGAGATATACTTTAACGGGACGGGACGATACCATTTTTCTATTCTACTTTTCTTTTATCTTTTTGTTTTGGAAAATTTTATACAATATCATATACATGTATGGGCGATATGGATTTGAGGACAATACAAAAGTCGCGGTGTGCTCTTTTCTTTCTATTGCGATCTACTTGCATTATCTATTGCATATGCATCAGACAGATTTTTGTTATGGGAGTTTTTCTTTCGTGTGAATAAGGAGATAAATGAGGAAAGGGAGGATGTGTAAGATCACTACTTTGGCTGGCCCATTTTTTGTGGTATATTTTGGAAGCGAGGAAGGCGGTTGCATTGGAGGAGGGGACGTGTCATGGCATTATTGCGCTACTTACTGTATGTGGAAGAATTGAAAGTAAAGTAATAGTTAGTCAATCTAGGATAGGAATCTAGGAAAGAATCAAGAGCAATGGTCTCTCAACTCAAATTTCATACTGCATTGAATGTGACATGGATGTTTTTTTTTTTCCTTTCTGAAAATTGATGAAAAGCACAAGTAGCTGTCTGTGTGGGTAGATCGCCTTGCATTATGCCTATCGCGCTGAGATCCGATTGTTGGGACTGCACGCCATGTAGATCATGATCGGCATTGATGTGATGAATTGATGGATAGATTGACGTAAAGCTAGCTCTGCCTTGCAAATATGGGTACATCATCAGTCCAAGTCCAAGAGTGAAGCGAGATCCGGCCGGAGACGTAAGGAAGGTGTAGGGCAAGCGGGTATCCGGATTCATCTTGCGTCGTGCATATCGTAAGTGTAGGCTTATGCATAGTCTCATGCAGATGGTTGAATTGAGAATAATGTACTTTTGGTGGCTGCGTTTTGATGGTCATGAGAAACGATTGATTGAAAGGAGATGCCCGAGGATGCATTGTGAGGGGTTAGCAAGGGCCAAGAGAGGAGAGCTGGGAAGGGATGGAAAGGGATTTTATTGGTTGGTGACAATGTGATAAGGGTAAGGTGGTATTGGGTTGGGTTGGGGATAGCGAGGTCAAGGCATAAGATCTCTTGGAATACTTTGATGTGATGGAGTGTGATGGATGGGTACGTGGTGTGGTGTTGTGGTGGTATAGTCTGGTTGAGTGGATCAAAGTTGTGGAAAATGGTAATTTATCTTGATGCAGAATAGTTGGCTCTACTAGGTAGGGCAAGGTAGGTAGGTTAATTGGTCGGCGTACTATAGATAGATAGATATTGGATTGATTGACGATGAGACGAAAGGTGCATAGATTATACCACTGGGTACGTAGTTGTCGGGACGGCAGGTACTTCATACAGTGGGGAATGAAACATGGGATGGTGCCTCGAGGGGGCATACTGGATTTATCAATGAATCTCGCTCGATCTTTTAAATGTCTACATTTTGACTGGATTTCAATCAATGCAATGTATTCTCAGCCTGATGGAATGCCGACAGCGATGATTATCCTAAGCTGGTAATGATTCCGAGCACGTCCCTAGGTAGTATTGAATCTACATAGTCGGAAGATATGGAAAGAGGAATAATGCGTTGTGAAATACGATGGCCTCGCAATCAATGACCGAGTACAGTAGATGCGACGTATATCTTCATATTCTGGTAATGTTGCTGTCCTCTTCTATACACAAATATCCAAGCAGCCACCCACGAGCCAACTACCTACCTAGTATACAAATATATACAAATACGAGAATGCAAGATGACATAATTATTAATCATTTTGTCTTCTTCACCACAGTCGGCTACCTAAGATAAAGAAAAGCACGAGCCACACTTTCTCACAGTTTGTCAACGCCACAGCTCTTATCCGCAGAAGTGGCCAGTTCTACCTACCTACCTACCTCCAGCTACCTAGTATGCTACAGCACCGCATCATATGAACTTCAATTAGGACAAATCAATTTCATTCACGAGAAAATGATGAGTATGAGAATGGGTACTTGATTCACTTCTGAGAATATCGGCAAAGAGTATACCGTCATTTTTGAACTCATCCGGTTGTCGCGTGTCTTTTGAGCGTTTAGCATAGAGCACGCCACATATACATATAGATTGAAGCTACAGAGCTAGGTACAGAGCTGCCCATCTACCAACTTTACGTGGTCGTAGGTGGAAAGCTCAACATAGGCACAATGGGCTCAAGACTTGCTTGGTATGCCGGTATATCCACTGGTCTGGCAGCTGCAGTGGTTCTTTCTGCGTTCAATCAGCGCGCAAACTTCTATTCAGCATGTGTTTATCTGGCGCAGAGTAATTTGTGTCTCATGGTATGTAGTTTTCGAGCTTCAAACACTTTAATCGATGAACATGGCTAACTCCCGATAGATCCTGATCAATCTGGTATGCTTTGAACTTATATCTCTCACTTCTACGATCTGCGACGTCACCCCGCCGAAACTTCCGATTGCTGACAGTTTCTTAGATTCTATTCGTTTTTTCTAGTTTCATGTACGGACTTCAACGACTTTGCTACGGCCCTCTACGACCCATCGAAATTGAGCAGTTATATGAGAAAGCTTGGTTCGCCATCACAGAAACATGTCTCGCCATGACCATATTCAGGGAAGAGGTTGGAGCTTGGTTTCTCGTCATGTTTGTCGCTCTTCTCACCGGCAAAGTTTGGGGATGGATAGGAGATGGTCGAGTTGAGATTCTAGAGCAGCAACCACCTGCTAATCCAAAACTCTTCCACATTCGATTGTCGATATCCTTGGCGGTCTCGGTCATTTACGATGCGTGGTTGATGAGTTATACGATTAACACGGTGATTCAACAAGCAAGGCCGAACATGATGGTTATGTTCTTGTTTGAATTTGCGGTATTGACCGTCTCAAGTTCTTCCACCGCTTGTAGATATCTCATTTCTGTGATGGAGATGAGAGCAGTCAAAAAACAGACAGAGGAGAGATTAATTGAGAGGAAGAGAGAGGTTAGAGAGGAGAGGGCAGAAATGATCAGGCAGAGGGAAATTGCGCGCGCGGAAGCTGGCGAAAATTATCAAGAGCCTACAACTCCTTTACCTTCGGAGGACGATGTTGAAGAAATGGATATCGAGGTTCCCGGGTGGGAAGCAAAGGGTCAATGGGTTTTGACCCTTGATTTGATAACAGGCAAGTTGATATTTTTATCTCATCTTTTTCCTTTTACTAACATTGAAATAGACTTCCTCAAGCTATCCATTTACTCTTCATTCTTTTTCATCCTTTTCACATTCTACGGCCTTCCTATCCATATTATGCGAGATCTATTTGTTACGGCAAGATCATTCGTCAAACGACTTACTGCATTCTTGAGATACCGTAGAGCAACTCATGATATGAACACAAGGTATGAAGATGCGACTGTTGAGGATATTCAAAGGGAAGATACATGTATTATATGTCGAGAAGAGATGCGACCTTGGTCTGTAACAAACCCAGCAGTACCTGCTGGCGCACAACCCAGGCCAGGCACTGTCAACGAGCGTACAAGGCCAAAGAAGTTACCTTGTGGTCATATTCTCCATCTAGGATGCTTGAAGAGCTGGCTTGAACGACAACAAGTATGCCCAACATGTAGAAATCCTGTGGTAGAAACACCTCAAGACGCACAAGCCAATGCAAATCGAAATGCAAGAGCTAATCAACCCGCTCCCGGCCAACAAGATGGACCCGCTGGAGCTGGTGCTGGTGCTGGACCTGTAGCAGCTCCTGCTCGTGGCCGCGGTATGCGTATGCTTAATCTTGGACCAATCAGAGTCGGCTTTGGTCAGGCAAACCTGAATGATTTCGCTGCCCTTCAAAACCCCCCAGGAGGTCAAGCGAATGCCGCAGGTGCAGGACCTAGAGTTTATGGCTTAGAACTAGGTATCCCTCGTCGAGCACAACCTCAAGCCCCGCCAGTGCTTTTGGATCCTGGACAGAATGGCGCGTTTCCACTTGGCCAATTACCACAACACTTAGAAGAACTCGAGCAGCAAGTCGCGCAGGAAATTCGGAACTTGCAATTGAGTCAGCAGCAGTTATTGATTGTTCAATTGTTACAAAACGAGTTGACAAGATTGAGAAATTTACAAAATAACGCCGCGGATCCTTTGGCAGCAAACTTTCCCTTGCCGCATATGCCAACCTTTCAAAATCCGCCGCAAATCGTCCCCTCATTCAGTAGACCATCAACTCAACCACAAGTGCACAGACACAGCGCACGGCCCAATACCTCAGCAATACCATCCGGTAGTGCTGACCTTCCACCTGGAGTTGTCATACCAGAGGGCTGGTCACTTCTCCCATTAGAAAGACTACATAATGCGCCATTACCGGGCCAAGCAGCGACACCAGGACCTGCAGCAGCATCGACATCTAACGATCCTATTATAGCCTCTGCATCTACGCAAAACGTAGTCAGCCCTACAATTGAGAGAAGTGATGTTTCTAATAATAGCGCCACGCCAATCAACACTGAACAAGTCAATTCGCAAGCCGGCTCGGTTGGCTCTTCTGAAACAAATGCCATTGAAACTCCGCCTTCTATCTCGGCTGACCAATCGGCATCAACAATTCCCACATCTACAGAACCAGCTTCTACAAATACAAATCCATTTGTTGACCCTCCTAGTTTACCTAATTGGGGAAATTCACAACTATTTACAGGATCAAGCTTGACTGGTAATCACAATCTTGATGGCGCTCATTCAGTGTCAACTTCGCCTCCACATGACCGTAATGAGGAGATAGATCCTCATGTTTCTCTTGATACTATGACAGGTACTGGTGAATCAACTAGTAGTTCAGCCGAGCATAGTGAGCCAAGAGGAGATGAAGATGGCGAAATGAGGAGACGAGAGAAAGGGAAAGCCAAGGCGGTGACGGTGGAGGATATAGTGGATGAAGAAGAGTGAGAAGACATCATGTGAGATGAAAAGTACATTGAATAATTTTAGGATTCCATCCGACATTCACGTGCACATTGCTTATCGTGCATGGTGTATAAAGCCAGAGATCAAATCGAATCCAGTTAGAAATATATTAAGGGCGTTTGGGGAAGGAATTCTCCTGGGATTGAGGAATGGATTGGCGCATTTTCTACGTAACATGCTATGGATAGGCTTAAGGCTTAAGCATAATATATTAGCCCAAGCATAACTCTGACGTTATACTTTACATACATGACATGGCATAAGGTTATCTTTGAGTCTGACAGCTTGGGCCCGGCTATGCTGTGGTATGGCAGAGAAGTGTGGAGGGTGGAGAGACAGATTATGGGGATAGGAGAAACTTTACCAGTTTTGTATGAACTAGCGTATTTATAGCGACCATAAAGAATTACAAAGTTATAAAGGTAGATGATTACTTGAAGTTGCATATTTAGTGCTCAGGCTATTGAACATGCCACATTTTTACATATTAATTGCATTTTATAAAGAGGACATTTCATTTTCTTTAATGCCACGAGGGTTACGTAGGGACTAGATGTAGATATGAATAAGGAAGTCTTACGAACAAGTACCCGATACCTTGGTGCAGACCCTGGTAATGGTCTGACACTTTGAAACGAGATTTGTGTGCAGGGAGGGAATGGGTGCGTGATGGGTTTAATGTATTTGGTGTTTGGGATTGGGGATTGGGGGCGGATGGGTTGGCTTTATGAGGTCATTGGATGGATGGATTTTTGTTTGTGCAGGAGGGATAGTATAATAGTATAGTGTAGTATGGGCTAGTTTTGGAGTGGGAGGGATGAGGTGAGGTGAGGTGAGGTGAGGTGAGATTTGGAATCTTCAATTGCGTTCCACGGGATACTTCCTCGCAGCGAAAGGTAGATCAGAACCGGTTTGGAGGCAATCATGATGGTGCTTCACTGTATCGTACCTGGTATATGACATATGACATGGATGGTAAGAATCAAGAATCAAGGGAAAAAATCAGAGTTAGAGATCACATGTTGGGGAGTGGAGTGAGTGAGTCAGGAAATTGGTTAGAATGAATCATAAAGTGCTAGGTATGTATGTACTCGTATCCATATCCATCTATCTGTAAGCCTTTCCTTTTCAGAAGAGAAAAGAGACTCGTCTTGCTCGTTGGTCGCTCACTCGTACAAATTCAGATGCGGCGATTTGTCCGATGCGGTGCGGAGTGATGGTGTACTGGCGCGGTAATGAGGTTACATTGTATACTTTACTATGGATACGAGCGGCTATTTATTTCGCTTTTTTGTTTGTCTGTTGTTTGTTTCCACTAATTGTTGTAGGTAGGTACCCTCGTATGTAGGTAGACAGTTATTTATCGAGTAGGAAGACGACTCCGAGTTATTGTTTATTTAGTTAGTTAGTTAGCTTGGGATGGGGTGGGAAAGACGTTGCGATGTAACTCTCCGTTCTTTAGCCGTGGCTGCTGATGGAGATGAAATTTATAGATAGTTAGGTACCTAACCATAGTCTCGGGTTTCCGATCACACCACCCACGCTCTGCTTACGGACTCTGGACGGAAAGGGCTTACTGATGAGGATGGGTAGGGTAGGGTAGGGTAGGATAGGGAATTAGTGTGTTCCGGATAAGTAGGCAGATATGCAGCTTTACTATCTCACCACACCGTATTCGCTCGATGAGATGTATCTCCGCACCTTGCCTGGCACCTGGCTCACTCTAGACGAAGATATACCCGGCCCTGTGGGTGTGGATACGAAGACCCAGTACAGTATTTTGCTTATGTAGTTAGTTGGTTTCCGGAGGGTTTTTTATCTACCGGTGGGTTTTCGGACGGGGATGGGTGAATGGATGGATGGATGGATGGATGGATGGATGGATGGAACCAACTGTTGGTTCCATTCTCTGCATTAATTTGTGAGGGTGAAAACTGTGATTTTGTTAGTTAAAGATACACCATAACCTTACGGCCCCCAAATTAGCCCCCTGGGCATGCAGATTGTCACCAACAGTCCCAACATAGTGGCGAATAGCCGCAGCCGAGAAACGGTGTTGGTTGTTGTGAGTCGATTTTCCCTTCGCGTGCAGGCATTTGGAGCATGAATCATTCGTTTGGGAATGGAAATGGGTAATGTGACTGTGATGAAGATGCGGGTCGAGGGGACTTTTGGATATGGATGTTTACGAATGTTGGGTTGCTATGATAGCGCTTAGATGGCATGTGGTTGAAGGTGTAATTTTACTTTTACCAATGTAAATCGTGTTGGGTGGCTTTGTGTGTGTGATTGAGGAGATGGATTACAGTGGGAACGAATGCGATGGTTGTTGAACGGTCGCAGTGTTAAACTGTTCGATTGATACGATTTGGATCTTGCCTGATTGTCGATTTCGATGGATGTGATTCCAAGTCTGATAGTGTCAGTCTGGATGCAGGTAGTTCTGTTCTTCTAGGTCGCTCCTTTCTTTTTCCGAAACAAAAATGCAGCGGTTCTTGTATTTCTGCTAAAGTCGATTCTATGGGCGCTTTTGCTTGGCTAGTTTATGAATGATTGGTCTGGTACTCTGAATGATAGATACATGCATGCCTCTTGTATATTACCCTGAGCATAGATCTCTGCACTTCCTGTGGTCTCTGTAGACAGTGATGCAATACGAAAAGAACAGAGACTTCACGTGCATGCGAGGCTAGTGATTATGATCCAAGGCGAAGGGAGGGAAGATGGAGCACCCTGGATTTGAAGTAGCATAATCATCATAATATCTCTAGTACGCTTCACAGAGCCAAGTGATTTTTCCAGAGAAACATGAATTGAACAATACAAACTACCGTATTCAGAAAAGTTGCCTAGCTCACCAGCTTGGACGTTATGGAAAAGGAAATCCCAAACATGCTCTGCGTTCATCTCCAATCCTTAATAATTCCCATACACTATTACACACCTAGAGAAAGAATACCACTACCATAGCCAAAGAAAAAGTCTCATGTACCCTAAAAGCTGGTGAACATCCATACCATCAAGACGACCAACAAACCATCTCCATCCCTCTCAACTACTCCTATTCCACCATCCTATCCCGCGCAATTAGCTACCATTAGATAAATCAACAATTCAATACAATGTAGACCACCTATCACCTCATCAATCAACATCAAACCCAAACCCACTACAATGACCCTCCCTACAACCCTCACACAATTCCGCATTATGCGGACCATTACTCTCTCTAGTCCCATAATACACCGGCCTATCCATCTCAATTCCACTCCACTTCTTAATGCGATACGCGACTCTCTCCGCATACGAATCATCCAGAATAGGTTGACTGAGCGTATTACAGCTCTTGCAGCGCTGATAATACACTCTCGCGTTATATTTTTCTCCAGCATACATACGTATCGTGATTGCAACTTTCTTACTCGACCATCCATGCGAGGGACATGCACGTTTGCGACAGGTGAATTTACCCATGATGTTGGTGTCGTATTCTTTGGTACAGCTGATCGGGTCGTCGATGGGGTGGAATGTGAAACAGAGATTGTGTTCTGCTAGGAGACGGGCTACGTTGTCGTGGAGGGAGGGGTATATGGACCATTTGTTTTTGGGCGTGGGTTTTTTGTATGGTGGCCAAGGCATGGTGATTCTGCGGGTGATGAAAATGGGTGGAGGGATCGGGTTTAAGTGATTTCGAATCGAGCAAACCTTTCGTTTTCCGTTAGTTTCCAGCTTGATGTAAAGACAAGTCCATTCATTACCTTAGCCTTTCATAAAACACAAGTGAGAATGGAAGCACATCCAACAAGACAATATTGATAGCAATCAGAGTTTTAAATTACAGTCGTGAATACTTGATCTGCATTCGAGAGAAACCAAAGAAGAGAACACGAACTTATATATAAAAAAGACTCGAACTTAGCTCGACTCACCTCCCTATCATCATCCTTCCTCTCCACCCACCCAATCAAAAAAGAAACAAGCCTCGCACAACATTTTTTTGCTCCGGAATAGCAATACCACCTCATCAGATCCAACCATCTGCTGCCAGCCAAGCTACCCCTCTTTCGACGCGACCCCGCATACACCACCCACCAGACTCGCAACGAATCATTATCTGAGGCTGCTCAAGCTTGCGACCAGTAACACCTGTCTGCATTAAAAGGTCAAGATTATAATCAACCTCAACGGTAAGAAGCACGTACAAGCAATGCACATCGGATACGCGTCGTACTTTCGACTTCTAACATATAACAAGTGAACAATGCGATACAATCATTGCATCTTGCAAGACATGTCGGGATGTATCTCATAGCAAATTATATATACTTGGAAAAAGCTAATGCGACTAGCACGTATTTTCAACATGATAAGCATTCCATGTATGTATCGGCTCTATTTATAACTCATATCATATCGTATAACTTCATATGTATCGTTGCCGACACATCTATCAATTTTTTTTGATTCTCCACTTCACCACTTCTCGATTTTTTCCCCCAGAATGAAATCAAATACCCTAATCCAACTTTCCCGTTCTTTTCGGCAAAGATCCAACACCCAAACACCCTCCTCCACGCTATACACCCATCCATCAAACAAAACGATAGAAAATATAACACCAACTGACAGTTGAAACTGAAATAAACAATAGGTATACAACAACCATGCCGCCCGCTCCTATGCCTATGCTTATGCAATGTAAACGTGAGATCGAAAATGAGACATATATGCCAACTCCATCCCCCCATAAACACCCTCCTTTTTCATTTCCCATACAATCTCGCTAAAAATGCAAACCAACTGGTACAATGCCCAACTCGTCAGTCCTGCGAAACCCCTAATCCAATACCCTTTCCTCTCCCCTTTCTGATCACCTCCATTGCTCTCCCCACCGCATTCAAATCTCCCAACAAAGTGACGTGCCCTCTATCACTCCTCACTTTCCCTCCCTTAACTAATTGATACCCTTCTGGCAGCATTGCCTCTTTCGCCAGACAAACCCCATCCCCACTTGCAAAAGCCAGATTGTCATAAACATCTGCACACGGAATTCCTTCTCTACCTGCGACCTTCGCTCCATAAACCGTGGGTATTGACTTTCCATAAATGACTGCCAATGGAGGGTAACGATTTGCTTCCGAGATTTCGGGTCTGTGATGAAGTTCTTTTTTAAATTGAAGTGTTTCGGCTAGCGTGCGTCGTAGATAGGCGATTGCTTTGTCGCGGGGAAGAGTGACAAGAGTCGACACCGAGGGAGCAGGGTTATAAGATTTACCAAGGGAGTTACCCATTTGAGGTGCAAGGGTACGATCCGTACCATCTACTCCACGGAGAGCTTCTGCTGCTCGACTAGTTTTGGATTGGTCGGTTGAGTGATGTCGATCATCATTTTCGTTGCGAGAATCAGATCCGAGGTATGGTGAAGAGGGTTGAGGAGTATTTGTACCGGAGCCCGAGCCAGAGTTCGAACCTGAGCCAGTTTTCTTTCCAGTTATCGTTAGACTTGATAGACTATTTGGTATTTGGAGATTGAGAATACTGCCAAGTCCACTACCAGATTGAGAGATTGGTGGCAGTGGTGGATCTGTAACAGGCGACCAACGATATTTGATCCAATCATCCAAATTGAAAAAGTCGACGGGATATCTTTCTCTTGTATGGAGATCAAAGAAACACTCTCCATTCTCAGGAAGGAGTACAAAACTAGTCCGTAGTGTAAAATTGACTTGAGCGGTTAACACTCTTGAACTCAATAGGACAGCATCTCCATTTCTAAAGGGACCAAGGATGTTTATGCATGATTGTGGAACACCGGCATATATCACTCCACTAAACAACTCAGGCTTTTGATTCACAACATGTCTCGTGATCAAACCTCCCAATGAATGAGCAATCACCAGCGCGCCCGTGGGCTTTTCTCCATTAGGACCTGGCTGATTAGAAGGTAATGTCTCCAAGAAGGCTTTCAGCTTTCTACTCAAAAGATGCGGACTTAACCTCCAATCATAACCATAATCCCATACTCTGAGTTTCCCATTTTGTGCATTTTCGCAATTGCGAAGTCGTTTGAATAATCGCCTGGAGATATCCACTGGTCCAATATTTTTAAGCATCCCAGATGGGATTATATTTTCTTCCATTCTTTCCTCGTCCTCTGGATCCAGACCAACTTCCAGGTCCACTTTACGGAGGTTAAGTCCTACCTTGACAGGAACCCAAAGTTGATGATTTGGTGCTTTGGCAGATCGGAGTATCGATCCTCGATATCCACCCATAATTACGACATCACCCGTCAAATGTTCCATTGCCTTGTCTAAAGCACTTGTAGGTTTCGTCGACGACCGAGTATTCTCACCGCCAAAAAACGAATCGGATTTCGAAAAGGAGGGACTCGATTCGAGTGGTTTCTTTTTTATAACTGCTGGCAATACGTCTGAATGTGCATCAGTAATTGACCTTGATCTGTACGACGCTGGGCTGGAATTCAAAAAGTTCATGCTAAAGCCAAAACTGGGTACGCGGGGCATACTTGGCATACTGGGAAGTTGTGGCATTCGAAAAGTCGATCGATCTTGAAAAGAGTCTCTGATAGCTTTGACTCGAGAATTGACTTGTTCGCGGTGATTTTCGAATCGTGTATCATCACCCAGTGAGGAACTTCGAGATAAGCTATGATATAGTAGTGAATCATCAGATGTTGCTCTGCGAAGAATCAATGGCCGTTCTGTTGTGTTGTTATTGCTCGCTGTACTTGCACTTTGAAGTTGTGAATTACTATGACGTTGTGATGGATGGTATTGAGTTGTGAGGCGCCCCTTTACCTGATTGTTATTCGTAGATGATTGCCCCTCACCTTTTAAATGACTAGGCGAGGTAGAAAAGGGGGAGAACGTGGCGCTTCTTGGCGAACTAATAGATGATCGAGACTTGTGAGTCGAACTCGTTGATGTACTAAATAAGTGTCCTACTTGAGCCATGGAAGGTAGCCCCTTCGGCAGCAGTTTTTTAAGCGCATCAGCACTGCTAGATAATGAACTTTGACGTTTCCTCCCATTCCCGTTATTGAATACACTAGCCATTGCTGACGTGCGACTATCATTTGGTGGTTCTGTAACGACAATTGGCTTCGGTCCTGCCCGCCACGGCGAAGGGGGAGATGGCAGAGGTAGAGGAGGAAGTGGTTTTTGTGAAAGGTTCGGTGATGGTGATGTCTCCAATGTCAATCCTTCTCCCTTTGTAGTTGTTGGTAACTCTTCATCGAATGGCCCATTTGCAGTTGGCTCTAATGCTAGCGGAGTCTCAGGGTCGCTGTCAAAATAACCACCTTCTAAATTATCCATGGCGGCAGCCTTCTCTGCAGCAGGTGTTCTCGAAGTTCTCAAACGTGAAGCTGCATGACTGAGGGAAACTCCAATGATAGATTGTGCATCCTCATCTGATATATGAGGAACTGCCATGGTTTCTGCTTCGTCCGAAAAATCATCGCTGAATTCGTATTGATCTGCCGCAATGGTAGTTGACGTTGAAGCATGCAATGGCTCGTTGCCATGCTGAGGGGAGGGTTTTGAAGCCATTGTCCGGTTCCGTCTTTGTTCCCGATTATTTCCTGCTTTATGACCTGTTTACATCAATAATTTCTAATCCATGATTGTTATGATTTGCAATATAATTTTGAGATGTGGCAGGAGAGAGAAGGAAGAGAAAGCTGAAGACGTTTTCCGCCGTTTCCGGATGCGATACGGTGAATACGATAAGCCGCCTTATGGAGCCTCCAACAATTTTTTAACCATTTACTAGGATATTTCCTGTTTGAGAGAGATGTTTGATATTAAGATTCGTGAGAATGTGAAATTTGCTTATAGTCTAGAGCTCGAATTCTCTTTGGGAGATTGGTTGCGCCGTGAACAACGAGCATCAAGAAGTCAGTCCATAGCTCGCTCTGATAGCTCGTTGTTCATGCTGCCAGTGCGTGCCAGCAAAGTCAATTCCACTTGTAGTTGACGTAATCGAGGAGTGGCAGTGGGGATAGACGGAGTCGCGGAGTTTGCCAATTGTGTTGTGAAAGTTCCAAGACTGGTGGACTTTCATAATTCATTGGTTGATTGAATGAATCACCAAACCTACCTTTCTTCCTACCTACCTACATTGTACCTACCTATTTGGAAGAGACAAATAATCAGAGATGATAGCATTTTCATCCATATCTTGAGTGGAGAAGATATGAAAAGATTGAAGATTAAAGATCATGTCAAGTGAAGGGATACATGGGAAGGGAAGGGAAGGGAAGGGAAGGGAAGGGAAGGGAAGGGAAGGGAAGGGAAGGGAAGGGAAGGAAAGGAAAGGAAAGGAAAGGAAAGGAAAGGAAATTGCATGTGAAATCATGTGAATGGACCCTTAAGAATTCTGTGTAAGGTTACCTACCTGTACCTACCTATTCATGGATCATCAACGTTTTTCTCACACGACTCATTAATACGACGGATACGAAAGAGCCAATTAGATTCATCCCTTGAATGCTGTGTACTATGTAGCCAGCCTTACCTAAATCTATCAAGAATACGCATACGACGTATTGCTACCGAATACCTACCTACCTACCTACCTAAATACATACCCATCTTGTGCTCATATAGTAATATATACACCGTTCGCACAGCATTTTCCCCTACCGACCAAATCTAGGGACCGACCTTGAAGAACCCTCCCTAATACCTACCTAATACCTACCTAATACCTACCTAATACCTACCTAATACCTACCTAATACCTACCGAGCTACCTACCGATGAAGTACGAAGTACTTACAAGCCTACCTATGCATCAACTCCCTAGCTCACCCACAATAAATGTCTCCCAACGACCGGTTGCAGCGGACACCAAACAAAATCCCACACCCGAAGTTACCGGACTCACCGGACTCACCGGACTCAAAAGCGATCAATGAATGGACCTCCTTTCCCGCCAATCCCCTTTGACATACGAGGTATATCCATATCCGCATTGGATTATTCGGAGTATTTATATACATATATATATATCTCTCTCTCTCTATATATCTTCATCATTTCTATATTGAAGAAACTCTCATGCTTCAAGGGTACAACCGAATCCGGCTTATTCAGACTGAAAACGGATAATGTAATCAGATTCCATAATCCCATTCGAGTTTTCATCCAATGACAATACAAGGATTCCCTGATCCCATCCATCTCCATGATCCCCTCTCATCCCATCTCATCCCATCCAATCCAATCCAAATCGAGTACTCCGTACACAGCCCCTCACGTTTTCAGGGGCGAGAGATCAACATAATTTCCTTATGCGTGAAAACAGAAAATTCACTCTCACAAGTGAAACACTCATCCTTGGCGATCCGGGGAAACTTTTTTTTTTAATGAATTTCTCGTATTTTTAAGTGGTTCATTTTGATTCATCATTCATCATAGTTATTCACCCGAAACGTGAATGTCTCGCGAGGTTTCATTCATTCAATGTTATCACGTACTACCTAGGGAATCACGATGTTAATCTGATCTTGTTCACTCAATTCATTTCACGCAAGATGCAAGGTGAAATTGAAGGCAATATTGAAATGCAAAATAGATACAGTATATCAAACAAATGATCGTGATTCTGAATTAATTTACTCAATTACTTCAAGACAAGCAGGAGGGATGGCCCAGCCCAATTCTCTACCCATTAGCTCTCGAGCAATTCCAATTCGGGATATTTCCTTGAAATGTTTCCATCCCACGATCCATACCAATCCATCATGTAACTATCCAGAAATAAGAATTAAATGTTGATTGTGAAGAAGAAAAAAAAATGCGCATAGGAAGAAAAAACTTCTGATCCAAACTGTCGTTGCCCAGACCAGACTCTAATAGAATAAACAAAGTAAACATCAACACCCCCCTAAGGTATCTATCCCCTTTTTCGTAGACCCAAGCCAAAAATAACTTGTACCGGCGCCCGGAAATTCCATTGTGATGCAGCTGCGTGAAATTTGTCGATAGGTGAGCACTCAGATGCTTACAAGAGGAAAGCAGCGAGTCCGAAGACGGCGGCGATGGCAGCTCCTCCAACTTGAAGGTTGGCGGCAGCACCGGTAAAGGCAAGTGGGGTTTGGGTAGCGACTGGAGTGGTACCGTTGGCTGGGACGGAGATGTATCCAGTGGAAGATGGCTTGGCGGAGGCAGCTGGGACACCTGGAGCAGTGGTCTCATGTCCAGAGAGGGAGATGGTGGAGTAGATGACGGTTGGGATACAGGTGGTGATGGCAACGACAGAGACAGCTGGAGCTGGGGAGGAAACAACAACACCGAGGGAAGAGCCAGCGGAGGAGGCAGCTGGGGTGGCGTAGGTTGGGGTGAAGCCGGCTGGCTTGCTGGAAGCTGGTGCGCTGACGGCTGGTGCGCTGGAGGCTGGAGCAGATGTTGCTGATGCTACTGAGGAGCAGGCAGTTGGGGTGACCAATGATCCGTTGCTATCATATGGAGAGTATCCAAGGCATGATGCATAGTTGGAAGCGCAAAGGGATCGGTTTGCATCTGGAGCACTTCGGCAGGTGTTGTACTCAGTGGCGCAGGTCGCGGCGCAAGCATCAGCAGATGGTGATGGTGCTGGGGCAGATGAAACTGGAACCAAGACGCTGGTAGCTGGAGCGCTTGAGACTGGAGCAGATGTTGCTGATGCTACTGAGGAGCAGGCAGTTGGGGTGACCAATGATCCGTTGCTATCATATGGAGAGTATCCAAGGCATGATGCATAGTTGGAAGCGCAAAGGGATCGGTTTGCATCTGGAGCACTTCGGCAGGTGTTGTACTCAGTGGCACAGGTCGCGGCGCAAGCATCAGCAGATGGTGATGGTGCTGGGGCACTTGGTGCTGGGGGAGAAACAGCTGGTGCACTTGAAGCTGGAGCGGAAGCTACTGGTGCGCTTGAAGCTGGGCCGGAGGCAACTGGTCCACTGTTGGATGGCTGACCGGCTGGGGTGACAGATGAAGGAGCAGCCTCAGTGGAGGAGGTTCTTGAGTAGATGGTGGTGGAAACCTGGGTGCTGCGAGCTGGGCAGTCGGTAACAGTTGCGGCGCAAGAGGTGATGGTGACTTCCTCAGTGACCTGTGAAATATTAGTCAGGTGCCCTCAAATCTCTTCAATACAATCTTGTTCGAACTCACGTAGTCAGTGGAGGTGGCAGCCATGGCGGCACCAGCGAACATGGAAGCGGCGATAACGGAGAAACGCATTTTGAATATTATTTGGGTTTTTGGGGGTTAAAGGTGCTGAAGAGCGGTGATAGAGGGTTTACTGAATGTGATCTGTAGAGTATGTTCTGTAAAGAATGGACGACCGAAGTCAAAAGAAGATATGTATGATCTGGAAGATTGACTGTTTGGATGAAGAAGAAAAGTGAATAGAGGAGGGGCAAGTCAACCCCATATAAGCTTGGGAGATTAAACAAAGATGGGAGATGGGCTTGGCCACTTAGGAGATTGACAAGGAAGAGCAGCTTTTCAGCGGTCCCATGTGGAGAGACTTTCCACACTTTCCCACCACTAGGCTAGCAAAGAATACCCAATTCGTAGTTGGATTGACAGGGGAATCACTCTCAAACCGGTAGTCGTGCAAAGTAACTTTTGCTAGGGCTAATATGTGTAGCCATTTGGTGACCAATGTATACACCGCTGAGCCAAAGGCAAAGTTAGCCTCCATTTGACATCCACTCTAATTAACAGGAGGGTGATGGATGTTTTTCCCATTTCTCACGTTTGGTTTCGGGGAAATCCAAACATTCAACCTATGAGAAGCCGTAGGTCTAGTTCATCCGTTCCTTGCGATTTGACGTTTCGTGGCTTGATTTTCATGCGCACCGAAGGAAGGCCGGACCAGAGAAAATGCATGGTTTGGAAGTCTTGGTGGCTCTGTGCCGGAGTAGCGCATTCTACAAAGTACATGGACGATTTAAATTCATCTAATGCAGGAACAAGACCAATTAGCGGTTGAATTGGCTGTAGTTCAACAAGTGAGAACACAAGTGAGAACACAAGTGAGAACACAAGTGAGAACCCCTATAAATTTTACTTCACCCTAAGCCTGACATTTGTCTGACTAGGAGCTCTAGGAATGATTATCCATCCCAAAAGTTCCTGCAAATGTAACTTTAAGGCGTAGGTCCCTTCTGTATCTCGATTGACTCCAGGTTTTGGATCAATTGTTTAATCTTCTTGAAATCCTTCTATCTAACCATCTCACCATCTCATCCTAAGGCTTATCCAAAGTCACATTTAACGGTTCAAAGCTTCTATTTCAAGGTCATCTCATCCATGGATAGGTATGGATTGGATGGATGGATGGATGGATGGATATTCCTGATGATGTGGCTGTGGCTGAGGCTGATGGGTTTGCTTTTGCTTTTGCTTTTGCTGTTGCCGTTGCTGTTGCCGTTCTATCACGTCGTCAATCATATCCATGGATAATCATACAATTCATATAATCAAATCATCATGTACACAATATCAATATGGATGGCGGATGCTGTGTAGCTCCAGTTTACTTTAGATGATTGTTTCACACGCACGTTACTCGAGTAGAAATTCACAGGAGTCAGGTCAGGTCAGTAAATAAGTTCTCTTCATCCATCTTCAAATCATTATGATTCAATCCCCAAATTTGATAGGCTCAATGAAGTAGATTCCCCATATATTCCCATTTCCACTCAGTCACTCATGATTCAAATCCCATTCTTTAATCAAAAATGATCAGACCGTGCTTCGTCCCAGGATCCCAGATTCCCAGATTCCCAGATTCCCAGATTCCAGATTCCCAGTCTTCCAGTCTCCCAGTCTCCCAGTCTCCCAGTCGTCTGCTTTCCATTTAAGCATCTTTTTGAACCTGGTAGAAAATTGTCGACTCCATTTCCAAATATATATTCATTTCTAAATTCTCAGTCCTCATCGGGATCAGAGGCTTCAAACTTGGTTGATCATAATTTTGAATAATAATTGTATCTTGAAGGAGATTTAATCACCGTACCGTACCTCTCTTCAAAGATGTCTATTTTCGTATCTCCATCATGGTCCATGGAATGAACCCGCAAATGATGCGATGTGATTGATTAACCGTCCTCGGAACGAAATCGTTAAGATTTGCTTTATAAATTGCAAAATTTGCAATACGAGCTTCATCGTGGTCGAATTACCTAGGTTCTAATTTTAACCAAGATAATGTTGCCGTATTCACTCTTCATTCATTAAAGATCTCTTTCGGGTTTTGTTAACTCCATTATTTCTACAACAGAAATGAGGCCATCTACTATCACTGTCGAAAGGCCGATATGGTTTTTACTGGATCGACTGATTTGATACACTGGCGTCTTCTGTGCGGTTATTTCCTCCACAATACTCGAGAACCTAGTACCGACACCAGCGAATTACCTAGTAGTTTCCAAGATATCGACGACAAATGCCAAGATATCGAAGATTCGCCGGTAGATTGTATACTCCCGTGAAAAGGGGCATGACGGTGAACTTGTAAGTTGTCATACCATGCTTTGAGAATATAAATGCATGGAAATGGGTTATGCACCTGTGCAAGTTCGTCATCATCTACGAGTTATCAACGTGGAATTTCTTCTATTTCTGGGATAATCGCATCCTACATACTTTTCGACCTTCATCTCTTAGTCTGGATAAGATTCAAGTCTTACCATCCCGTACACTGGTTTTACTTACTTTTCGCAGTGTATGACGACAACAACTTGTGTTTAACGCCATGATCATGTCCCCGAATGCAAATCACTACATTATATCACAACGATCGACAGATAATAATGCGTTTACTATCATTATCCATGGTCTTACAACACGATACAAGACGACATACGTCAATTGATTGACAAAGTTCCCGTGTGTACTCGATTAATTCATACTGCGCCCTAGAATAATTCAACAATCCGAGGGCAAGATATATATAAATCTAGGTACATGGTACATACGGTAGAGTTCTGCTATTTTAATCTCAAAACATATTGATAGATCTGCGAGTCCTATTAACTATCCATCTACATCATCGTCAAGATTCGGTCCAACGACAAACGACCGTCTGGACATGATGGTTAGATTTGCGCGTCGCACAAAGGGTACATATCTTCTCGCAACTACAATTCTGACACATACGACCATAGACTGAAGAGAATTGGGCATCCCGTCCGCTCTGCCATACACAAGCTTCAGATCGGTGGATTAGTAGTTGGGTGGGTGACCACCAGCGAATCCCCACTGTTGTATGTCGTTATCTGTTTTGCTAGGCAGGCATAACTCATTTTTGGATCGTCGAGTCGTCCCTGGTCAAAAATTTACATGCTGGAATTCAAGTCACCGAGCCTCACTGTTACATGTGCATGCCATTTGCCTTGTTTCTGCTGTGGAGCAGACTTTTGTTTGTTTTGCTCGAGATCCTCCTTTGTCCCTTTTCCAGCTGTGTGTCTGGTACAATTTTGGCATCATCGGATAAACGACATTATGTTCTATTTTAATTTATTTATAGCATTATCGCCACCAGATCTCCGCTATTGCTGATATGCGTTCCTTGCATTGTTTCGCTGCGAATCTACCATCATTGCAGAAGTCTATGCTATGCAGTGCCGGAGGTCACTAAGGGTACCCCATGTTTCTGAATTAATCTAAGTAATCATGGAGACGGATCTAAATTCACTGTCATGCACTTGTTGTCCTCATTTTCTTATGTTACACTTCTGTGTGTACATTCTGTCCATTCCAATCCGTTGTCCCTACACTGTGTATCGGCTTCTCATTTGAATCTTCGCTTTCGTTATGAATTCTTCCGACTTGTTGTCTATTTTCTCGTGTTGATCATTGATACTTCAAATCCTTCCTTTGCCCGTCGCAATCTCCCGTGTTAGTTCTATTTTGGCAACCACTTCAAGGCCCCATTGTGACGATTTGTCAAAACGGATTGCTCATTGAAATCGTGTTGTGCTTCAAGATACCTAAGGTGTGCACTTTCTTTTCACTCTCTGCCTTTTTTGTTGTAAAGTGCCCGGCTCGGGGTGTCTTTAAATAAGTACAAAGATACAGGAGCTCCCAAAAGAGGGTGTTAGGCACTTGACATCTTGGGGTTCTTGATATTCACTCTTTAATACCCCATCTTCCTACAGAGGCTCTTTCAGGATTGATACTGATACTGATGTAGATGTAGATATTATTCACAACATCCTCTCTGGTGAATGTTTAACCCTCTGCTGGTCCTAACAAGCGCGGATCTAACATTACTTCTCAATTCTCACACTGTAAAGCCCCTGGATCTTTATATAAACCCCCCAACTTAATAACTTTTACTGGGTAAGGAAGTAGGAAATGCCAACAGATTCGATCAAGATCGTGCGCAGTGTAACGAGTCCTTGTCAACTCATAGAAATAGGACTATCAGATTTTGAATTCGATTGTATAAAATTCATCGTTTATCTACGCGGGCTTTGCATAACAGTTTTGTTGTCATTCAACGTCTCATTCGTTCCGGTTTCACTGTCGCTTAATGTTATTATCATCATATTCCCATACATTATCACCCTCGAAACAAAATCGTTTCTTACTATGCCCTCCTTAGAAAACTATCTCCATTCGCAGTATTACCCTTGCGATCTACCCACATTCAATCACCTCGCCTGTCGACAATATGCTCGCCTCCTGATATTTTTATGGTAGAATCGTTATGATAGGATAGATGCGAATAATCTTTAGCTAATACCTAATGAGTTTGTTTTAAGGTGAGAAGGGTGTGGAGATGCGATTCTCTCCGTGGTGGCCAGGAAGTTGGGTGGGTGTGAATTACCAACTCTCATCTAAAATAGAGATAGATGTACCTATTTGATGTTATATTCATGTTAATGGCTTGAAAGCTTAGTGAATTACTCTTTTGCATGTGAACCACTGTGGGAGGGGATATAATCCTATTATTGAGATTCAAGTTACCTCAACCTGATCAAGACCAGGCAAGGTGAGGCGGTTCATGGCGCAACAATGATTTGCTGCGGGACATCTGATTGTGTTATGAGACGAGGGCTCGTTCGTATATTTAGGGATACTACTTGCTGTACAAAATTCTAGCGGCGTTCCATTTTATCATTCTCCTCTTACGCGGTATAGCAAGACCTCACAATGTTTAATCGAGTCCATGCATCCTCATCTAATAGACACTCACAACCTGAAGTGAACCTGAAGTACAACTC